CTCCATGAATGAACTGTTCCAATTGACATGTTCACTTAAAAACACAGATTTGCGCTACACCACAGTCTGCAGCATCTCCACACACAGACAAAACTTGCTCCAAAAGTGTGAAGGGTTATTTAACCCTAATCATGAGATTTGCATAGAAGTCACGTCTTGCGCACTTTAATACCCTTTGAATGGAACATATACGCGTCTTTCGCACTGGAATCATGGCAGAATATCCTGTGATGTCCACTTCACAGGGCACTTACGGTCGAATGGAACAAACCCCTGAAGTGGTAAGAGAAACATACAAAATGTGCAGAGCGGGGGATCGCGAGGACCAGGATTAAGAACCGCTGTTCTAGACATTATTGTCTAGACATCTATAACATATTCTAAACAGCGGTTCTCAACCAGGGGGCTGGGGCCCACTATTAGCCCTCAGTGAAAAATTATAGAAAATACTTAATTATACTAAAAATTGATGTATTTTAAGTCCTGATCCTTAGTCATTATTACGTAAATTCCTTGAAGATTCATGTAAATTCACTGGTTCTATTAAGAACATTCAGCTCTCAAATCTTACGGAATTCTTACATTTTGCTCATTTCTGCTTTGACACAATCTGTATTGTATAAAGCACTATTTAAATAATGGGTGACTAGTTACTAATTTTATATGAACACACACACACACACTCACACAAAATATTGTAGATAATAGGGGCCTTAAAGTAAAAAAGCTTGAGAACCACTTTTTTAGAGAAACTTTCTAGAATTATGATGTCACTTAAAATAAAAATAATCTGTTTTATTAAGTATTTAAGTAAGTATTTTACACAATAATAATGGCCAATTATTAATATACTAGACAATATTGACATACGGAAGTGTATCTCATTTTGTTAATTTCTCTGATGGCAGCTGGTTGAAAGAATGGAAAATAAGAGCAGACACCGAGGAGAGGAGAAGACGACAAGAAGAAAGGAGGATGAAGATAGAAAATAGTCATGGTAATGAAATTGTCAATATAGAACACGTGCAGTTGTTGTAATAACAATATATGGTATAACATACATTGTCAATCATTTTTTTTTCTTTAATTTCTAAAACTGAGAAATGCGTGTACAAATCTCTTTACCTGTAGAGTCATGGGACTGTGGTGATTTTGAAGGTGATACTGTATCCATAGACCATGAACAGGAGCTGTGTAACACAGTGCTCATGATTGGTCCATCAGGAGTGGGCAAAACGGCTGCTGTGTATGCTAGTGCACAAGAGCTGGGATTCAAGGTCTCAGTCCAATATGTTCTCTTTATATCAATGCTATTACAAATATTACAATAAGCAAAATCCTGGCTGTCTGTTTAACCAGCCTTAATTGTATCTTCCTCTGTTTTTTGGTCTCATAGGTGTTTGAGGTGAATAGCTCAACCCTGCGCTGTGGTCGTCTCATTCTCTCCCAGCTGACAGAAGCAACTCAGTCTCATCAGGTGGACATTCAGAAAATTAAAACCCTCAAATCTGAAATCATTAACCAAAGCAAAATCAAACCTGATCCACCTTGTGAGTGAACTTATACGATATGAATTCTTGTTTAATTAGTTGACGTTTTGCACAAAATCCCTACACAGATGAAAACTAAATGGAGTCTCATGGATTCTCGCATTCATTAAACTGGATAAAACTATCATTATTATTTTGTGGATTGAATCTGAATAATTATGAAAACATTTACTGTATCTTCTTTTTTTTTTCCATACAAATCCAGGCCATATAAATCATCATCGAAGGAAAACTTCAAGTTCTCCTAGCATTTCCCGTCTAAGCACTAAACCACAGCCAGTAAAACTCACTCGCTTTTTCAAGTTGAGTAGCAAAAAGTCTGTAGGTAAAACCTCTGATGGTCCTGAACATTATATACATGGTAAGTGTACTAGAACTAGTTTGAGAAGAACTTAAGAAAAAGGGCCTGGTTCACTACAGCATTTAATAGATGTCTCTGCTTTGTCTGGGTAAAATAAGTACACATTTGTATAACGTCTGAAAAAATCATAATTGAGCATGTACTGGATAGTATAAATATGAACAATTGTGGTTATTATTTTGATTGTTCATCACAAATGTAATTACAACAGCTGGCAAACTGAAACCAGATGGGCTTCAGAGATCAGTGTCTGGTTTTAAGGACCGTAGACAAGGTGATCAAGAATCAACATGCCCTTCTAAAGGTCCTACTTCACTTGGACAGAGCCGAACAGTCCCCATGTCACTTATACTATTTGAGGAGGTAAGAGTGGAAGCTGAAACGGATTACATAACACTTCATGATTTGTATATTTGCTGTGTTAAATGATTATAAAAGCATCAGAATTAATGAATAAATTAATTGTCTATTAGTATAAATAACTGGTTTTGCTGATTTAAACTCCTTTTTACTTGTTGACAAGTTTTTAATGTGCTGCCAATGTTAAATGTGTCCCTTAGGTTGATGTCATTTTCCCTGAAGATGTTGGATTTCTTGCAGCTATTAAGACTTTCATGAGCACAACCAAAAGACCAATAATTCTGACAACCAATGGTGAGCAATGCTTTACTGCATAAAATGCACTCAAGCATTTATTTGTTTGTTAAAATGTTTCTTCTTCACAGACCCATCATTTAGTGGAAGACTTAAGGGGCATTTAGATGAAATCCATTTCCAAACTCCTTCACTGGTGAGAAAAACCAATATTTGAAAGCAAATATTATTGTACACCTTTTTATGCCACATACATGGGAAACTTCTGTTCACAATTGCTGTGCATTTGTTTAAATTAGCTGTTATCTGATGGCGTTGTTGTTATTTAAGATAAGTTCATAATTATTTGAAGTAATAATATGATGTATCATTTTAAACTTAGGAAACCATCAGGAGCTATCTGCAGTGTTTGTGTGTGGTGGAGAACATGAGGACTAATCCAGAGGACGTGGCCTTTTTGCTGTGTCAGAATAAGGGGGATATCAGACAGAGTATTCTCCAGCTTCAGCTCTGGGTCTGTAGTGGTGGAGGGAGCACAGAACTACAAATTCTCAAGAACGTACTCCAAGTGAGCCAGACTCATATTTATTTACTAAAGCCTTTACTATAAGTTTTCTGCACATGAAATTATAGAGATGCAAACAGTTGTCAGTCTCTAGAAGTTTTTCGTTTTGCATGATCGTGCGTTAGATCAATGTTGCTTTGTTACGTGTTGCTGCTCTCTTAAATCTTATTAGCAATCTAGAATATTTGATTACAACAGCTTGTGCCCATTCCATGCATCCTCAAAGATTTTTTTCTACTAGTACAGTAACATACTGCACTGTAATACAGTGTATGTACTATGATACACTGAGGGTGTATTATTATTATGGCATTATCAGATTATAATATTTACCTACAAATTGAACTGTGGTTGCAGGGATTAAAGTTCTTTTTCCGTTAATTGCAGCGAGTCTATTATGGAATTCCATCAATTGGAAAAAATGAGGGGAAAAGAAACTTTTAGCGCATTGTTGTTGTTGTTGTTGTACCAAAAATCATCCCCGCCACGGCTGCAGCTTCTCAGTGACAACATAGTGATGCCGCTCGCATCATTCACAGTCGGGTTATTAGCAGAGAACACAGAGCAGAACTTGAATTTCGGCGCGGGATTTGCGGCTATTAATAACAATTCTACTCATTCCAAAGACTATAGAATGCCCTTAAAGGGACTTTCTTATTCCCGCAGGTTCCGCGCTTATAACGTGATGACGGACCACATCATTTGCACGTGCTTTTGAGTCTTGAGAACTCGCACGCTCTTATTTTTTGTGTGCCCACAGATCGCGATAAGGAGAGTGACAACTTTTAATAGTTATTAAGGGAGTTTGCAAATGCGATATTGATTTAATACAACAGTTCAATAAACAAGTACTGCCTGATTTTGCTCTATTTCATCAACAAAAATAGTTCCAAATATAGTAACAGCTCAGCCATCTGGAAGCAAACACAGCTGAGTTTCATTCATTCAATGATGCGTTTCTGAACGAATCTAGCGAGTCAGTGATTCACGATTACCCATTCATAAAGACAGTCACTTGCTTCATTCCTGAATGAATCAGCAGTTTGAACGAATCAATTGAATGAATGATTCAGTAATAAAATTAGTGACTTGCCGCCACCTGCTGGCGGATTTGGTTTAATTTTTAGCGTATAATTTCAGTTATTTTTTTTAATTATTTTTTTTATTGCAAAACTTGTAGAAACATACAGAAACAG